ATACAATAGATTAGCCAGTCCTGGTGGTGGGCACCTGTAATCCCAGCTACTCGGGAGGCTGAGGCAGGAGAATCGCTTGAACCTGGGAGGCAGAGGTTGCAGTGAGCCGAGATCCCACCATTGCGCTCCAGCCTGGGTAACAGGAGCAAAACTCTGTCTCAAAAAAATAAAAATAAAAAGAATGAATGAATGAATGAATGAAGTGAACGAAGTGAACGAAGTGAACGAAGTGAACGAAGTGAACGAAGTGAACTCCCCACCAGGTGATTCTCTTGCTAGATAAGAGATGCCTTGGTTTAACTTTTGGCTTCCCTAAGAACTATCTGTGGCTGTGACCTTGAATAATTATTCCCAGCTTTGGCCTGGAGCATCTTTGATGAAGAGGTAAATTGAGATTAGAGATGCATTGCATGCAAAGTGGGGATTCTGGACCTTGGCACTATTAACATTTGGGGTGGGACAGTCCTTTGTGGTTCAGGGCAGTCCTGTACACTGTAGGATGTTTAGCAGCATCCCTGGCCTCCACCCACTAGATGGCAGTAGCACATCCTCCCTCATTTGTGATAATCAAAACTGTCTCCTGTCATTGCCTTATGTCCTGTGGGGAGCAGTCACCACTCTGGAAGAACTGCCGGTATGAGGCGCCCAGCACAGTGCCTGCTACCTACTAGGTTTTCTTCTGAGGACCAGTGAGGAGAAGGGGCTGCTTTTCATGGAAGTCTGAGGCCGTCATGAACCTTCTGCTCAAAGGCCACTTATGCAGATTTAAAGCCTGTGTGCATGTGTGTTTACAGGTTAAAGATTTGCTAATGGAAAGTAAATTCCCCAAAAGATTCTGACTCACTGTTTTTGCACCATTTTCAATATTGCCAGTCTCCAAGACTAACTATCACCCATCTTTGGTTTAGAGAGAATACAGCCCCTTTCTGTCTCTTTCTGCTTCACTGCTTGCTTTATTTCCTGCCCAAACTATTTATGCAATAATGGCTTCTCAACTGGTGACCCCATATCTAATGACATTCTGCCACAGCTATTAGAAAACATTTTCCACAAAGGACCAGATAATAGATCATTCAGGCTTGGTGGGCTAGGCAGTCTCTGTCACAGCTATCCAACTCTGCATTTGTAGTACAAAAGCAGCTACAGACAGTAAATAAATGAGCATGGCTGTGTTCCAATAAAACTTTATTTACAAAAACAAAATTTGGGCCAGGTTTGCCTCATGAGTCATTTGCTAGGTCCTCTCTTCATCCCCCTACCCTATCTCCTGCTGCCAGACTAGGCTTTACAGAGCCCAGAGGTCATTTTTCAAGCACATATTCACTTGGCAGACATTTATAAATATCCACTTTGCAGCTAGTATGCTGTTGGACCATGGAGATGGGACAGGGAATGTAGCAGAGTGTCCTGTTTTCAGGGAGCTCACAGACAAATAAACAGGCCATGGCAGTACTTGGAGCTGTGTGAGCTATGACTATCCAGCTGCAGTGCAGTAAAGGGGATGGGCAACTGATTGGGTTTCAGCATCAAGGAAAGCCTGCTGGAGGAGGGACTCTTGATGCGAACTGAAGGAAGAGTAAGGACTAACTGGGCAAGTGGGGGGTGAGGCTTTCCAAGCTGAGGGGCAGTGAATGTGAAGACTTGATGGAGTTAAGAGGATGGAGCTCTTCTCCCTTAACTTACCCTAAGCTTCTGGAGGGCATGACCCTTCTCTGTTCGATACAGAGATAGCTCCAAGTCTACAAGGAGCCTTGGCTTTTTTGCAGGAACTAGTAGGAATGGGCCACTTTTCCTGAGGTTGCTCTGCACTGATGAAAAGCCCCCAGGGTTATATATGTTCCTGGTGAAAGTATCTTCTGCTGGAGGTGGAGGAGGGAAGCCTTTGTCTTCATATGATCATTGTCCACACCACTGCTTTGGAAGAATTTACACAAGTCTATCTTTCAATTCAGAGATGGGCCAGGTAGAAGGTTGGGGAGACAGAAACAGACCTTTGAGCAGAAGCTGCCTCTGGCACAATGAATGTCTCATCAGATGGTTCCCAAGATCCCAACATTTCTGGGGCTTTTCATCACCCATAGAGAAGTGGCATCGCTATGAAATTTCTGTACAGAAGGATATGTTCCCTGAACAGCCTAGAAAAAGAAAAGACACTAGTTTAGTTATAAAGCAGCAGAAGTTTTGTTTTTTTTTTTTAATTAGTCAAGACCCTTTTGGTTGTAAGTAACAGAAAAAGTAGCTTAAAAAATGAGATAAAGGGTATAAAGTGTCAGTTTTGCAAGACAGATACGTTCTGGAGATTTAAGTACAGCATGGGAACAAGAGTTAAAAATACTGTATTATATACTGGAAATGTGCTAAGCGGATAGATCTTAAATTAAATCTCACCACACACACAAATGGAAATCATGTAGAAGTGATGGATATGCTAATTACCTGGAATGTGGTCACTTCACAATGTATACATATGTCAAAACATCATGTTATACACCTTACATAAATAATTTTTATGTTAATGATATCTAAGTAAGGCTGTTAAAATATAGGACGTTTACTGACTTGTGTAACTAAAACAAACAGGGGTGGTGCTAACTGTGGGTAAAGCTGGATTCAAGACTCAAATGATGTCACTGGGACTCAGTAGAAACCTCTCTATTCCTCAGTTTCTTCTCTTCATTTTCCTCTAGTTTGGCCTCACCTGTAGGTAGGTCCCCTTCAAGTGGCAGTTCTGTTGTTGTTGTTGTTGTTGTTGTTGTTGTTGTTACAGAATCTTGCTCTGTGGCCCAGGCTGGAGTGCAGTGGTGCGCTCTCAGCTCACTGTAACTTCCACCTCCAACATTCAAGTGATTCTCCTGCCTCAGCCCCCTGAGTAGCTAAGATTACAGGCATGTGCCACCACGCCCGGCTAATTTTTGTATTTTTAGTAGAGATGGGGTTTCACCATGTTGCCCAATCTGGTCTCGAACTCCTGATCTCAAGTGTTCCACCTGCTTTGGCCTCCCAAAGTGCTGGAATTACAGGCGTGAGGCAACATGCCCAGCCTAAGTGTCAGTTCTTGGCAGCTCCAGGCTTATGTTGTTTTTACAGCTGCCAGAGTGGAAAGAGAACTTCTTCCCCAAAACTACAGCAAAACCCCGGGGTGACTGGGACTCAGTGGTGTGGCTAGGCCTTAACGCACTAATGGACTCACTCGATAGATGTGCATGAACCCAAATCCATGGGACTGTTTCAGTGGGACCTTCTGAATGGCCAGGCTGGTGTCCTATGGCTCATCTCGCAGTGACCAGGAGCTGGGTTCAACTATATTTGCACCATACAGGCTGAGAGTGGGACTGTCCCCCAGAAGGAAACTGGGGTCTTGTTGAAGAAACAGGAGTGATGACAGACCAGCAGTATCAGTGCATGTCTTCTGTGGCTTCCCAAGATGGGCAGGGTTAACTGCTTATGGATAGCAGCAACTCAGCCTCAGCATAGGCACACCCTCCATGGCGCCAGTGCTATGGGAAAATGTTAGAAAGAGAAACGCTTGTGTCCTTTTGTTTCCAATGGCACAGACATTTGGAGAAATTTGTCTGGAGGAGGGAAGAGCCTGATGGGAATGTTTTTACTTGTAAAATGTTTAAACTTATCCTAAGCTTAGTTCTCTTCCAAGTGTCATCTTTAACATTCTAATTAAGGTCCCTTCTAAACAAATGCACCAGTTCTGTGTGCTGCTCTGAGAACAAACTTATTTTTTTCTTCCCTTCTTTCTGTCATCATGTTTTTGCTGCACTCAAATTGCTTTAGAGAAAGAGGATTTCGGGTGTTGGTGGCGAGTACCAAAGAGATAAGGAGCAATTCTGATATTTTTGCCCTGGTATCATTGTACGAGGGCTAAAGTCACATCTAATTCACCACAGACAATGGGAGAGGCAGCTATTTCGTGTGCTTAATTGCTAAGTTTTTTTCCTCTCTCTGTCTTTCTGACTGTTTGATCCCATCTACTGAGACCATGGAAAATTTGGACCTTTGGGTTACCATTTCTTATGCCGTGTGTGTGTGTGCGCGCGCGCGCGCATGTGTGTGTGTGTCGTGGTAGGACTGTGGAGGAGGAGGTAGAGAGAGAGATGTTTCCTGAAATGGAAGCATTTGAATTCAGGTTTTTGTTGTGTGTGTTTTTAAAATTCTTCTGAGTTGGCTGTAATTGTCACACTGCATGTTTTGCCTAGATCTGAAGAATGAATTGTTATATAATACTCCGTGCTCATAAAAAAGCAAGGCAGGGAGGGAGAGGCATGGACTAATGAGACTAAGAGTTAAATCCAATATTTTTCAGAAATGCTTAAAATGGGGATGTCAGAGAGAACAATTGTTGTCCAAATTAGGCCCTGAATTTTTATCAGCTGCTTTATTTTGGCACTGAGGACATCACACACACACATACACACACACAACATAACACACAACCACACAGACACTAGGACCATTAAGAGGATACTCCCTCTTCCCATTATGTGAGCCAAGTCACATAAAACTTTGATTAAATTCAAATGCTTACATAAATTGTCTCTCCTCTCAAGAACACACACGTTCAATTTAATCTCTCTTGGCACTTTAAGTATCAAATCAAGGTTCTGCTGTCACTGCGGACAACTAAATGCTCACAGTTTCCAAAATGGGAATGAAATGAAAAGGATCTGCCAGGAAAAAAAAAAAATTCCAATCTAGTAAAGCCACAGATCCTCCTCGTCTTTGAATATTAGGCTGGGTGGCTTGGGAAAAGTGACTATTTTTTCCAAGCCTCGGTTTCTGCATCTGTAAAATGGGGAGAAGTGATGGGTACTGTTTCCTTATGGGGTCTGGTGAAGATGAACATAGATTGGTCCATCTCGGGCTGGTAGCACCATGGTGACCCCTAGAAAGTACGCAGTGCACGATCGTCCTGGGATCTGGGAGGAAGGTTTCTGAAGCGTGGCTTCTCATGATGTTCTCTCCCTCTCTCCACCTTTTTGATTTTTCAGGGTAATCAGGAAGCAGCCGCTGCCCCTGACACAATGGCTCAGCCTTACGCTTCGGCCCAGTTTGCTCCCCCGCAAAACGGTATCCCCGCGGAATACACGGCCCCTCATCCCCACCCCGCGCCAGAGTACACAGGCCAGACCACGGTTCCCGAGCACACGTTAAACCTGTACCCTCCCGCCCAGACGCACTCCGAGCAGAGCCCGGCGGACACGAGCGCTCAGACCGTCTCCGGCACCGCCACAGTAAGTGGACGTGTTGGCTGCGGGTGGGAGGTTATGCAAACCTGCGCTGGGGCACGTACCCCAGCCCTGGGAATGGTAGCAGGGGCGCATCCCCATCCACCCAGGGACTCTGGCAAACAGATCAGTCCCTAAGCCCACGCTCATCATACCAGCTTCCTGAATGAAGTTTACCTCATCTCCATGCATTCATTCTTAGCGTTCATTTAAATCAAAGTATTTTTTCATTAACTTCATTTATTTGTAAAGGGGCACATTTATCAATTTTCTATTCCTGTAGTTTTGCCTTTCTAGAATGCGATCCCAGTGAAATATCTTTTTTTTTTTTTTGAAAAAAAAAATTTGATGTAAGATAATATTTTTTAAGTCTTTATGGAGGCTGGGTATGGTGGCTCATGCCTGTAATCCCAGCACTTTGGGAGGCTGAGGTGGGAGGATCATTTGAAGCCAAGTGTTCGAGAATAGCCTGGGCCACAAAGTGAGACCTCATCTCTACAAGAAATTTAAAATTTAGCTGAGTGTAATGGTGCCTGCCTGTAGTCCCAGCTACTTAGAAGGCAGAGGTGGGAGCCCAGGGGCTTGAGCCCAGGGGTTTGAGGCTGCAGTGAGCTAAGATTGCTCCACTGAACTCCAGCCTAGGCGACAGAGTGAAACTCTGTCTCTAAATAAACAAAAATAAAATATTTGTGGAGTTATAATTTACATATCATAAAATTAGTATATTTTTAGTTGTACAATTCACTGATTTTTAGCAAATTTACAGAGTCGTGTGATGATTGCCATCATCTAATTTCAGAACATTTCCATCAGCCTAAATACAAATCTTGTGCCCCTTTGCAGCTACTCCTCATTCATACCTCAAAGCTCTGAACCTGGCTTCTTTACCTTAGCCTCATGCATTTGAGACTCATCCAGATTGCAGTGTTTGTCCCTAGTTTCTTCATTTTTATTGCTGGACCAAAGAGCAGGGGCTAGAAAGGGGCAGGGTGAGAGAATCTGGATGAATAAGGAAACTGTCCTGTATCTTAATGGTGATAGTTATGTGACTTTATACACTATACAGGGTAAATTTTATTGCATACAAATGATTAAATGGATTAGAAACAGGCATATAAACAACACAGACATTTTATCATCACTGTAAATGAAAACTGGTGTTTTGACCATTAATCAAATGTAACTCTAAGCAAAAATAATTACAGTAAAATTAAATAATGTTCATTTGTGTGCCACATAAAGTAATCATGTATACCACAAAACCTATATGGAACATGCATTTGGGAACCTTTTTCTGCAGAATTCTTTAGAAGCTTGGGCACCCCAAACCTCTTGTCTGGAACATTTTTTAAGTGCAAGGCAATTCTGCCTCTTCTTCCTGTCCCAAGACCTCTGGAAAGGCAGTATTTGTGAAGAAGTTTATGGGTTTGAAGCATGATACATTTCCTATGATAAAAGCAACCACTGACTAACTTGGCTACTTGCCACCTCATTCATTTGGAAGCTAGTTTTGAAGATTTTTTTTAAAAAATAGTATACATTCTGACATTTTTAGTTGTCTTCCTCCCTTTTAAATTTATTGTGGTAAAATACATACAACATAAAGCTTACCCATTTTAACCATTTTATTCATGTGCAAATTTCAATGGTATTCAGTATATTCACTAGGTAGTGCAAAACCACCACCATTATCTGGTTTGAGAATGTTCCTACCACCCCAAAAGGAAACCCCCTACCCATTAAGCAGACTCTCCCCATTCTCCCTCTCCCCAGTCCCTGGCAACCACCAATCTGCCTTAGAGATAGTTTTTTGTGTCTGGCTTCTTTCTCTTAGCACAATGTTGTCTAGGTTCATTCATGTTGGGTTTCCCACTGTATGGATAGACCATGTTTATTTATTCATTAGTCCATTGATGGATATTTGGGTTGTCTCCACATTCTGGTTCTTCTGAACGCTCCTGCTACTGATTTTTTTGTATTTAGTTGCTGTGCCTTAGGCCTGGTCTGTTAAATGAGTTTGCCGGATCAGCAGGTGTTTGTTGCTTTTGCGTTGACTACCGGGCAGTAGTGATGGGGGTGTTGTTTACTGTGTGTTGGCCATTTTGTGATAATCAGTAGTAGTAATGCCTGGATAGGTTATTTTCAGATTTTAAAAAAAGGTGCAATCAGACATTATTTATTAAGCTAACTGCTGTGGAAATTTTATGTATTCATTTATTTACTCACAAATATTTATTAAGCTTCTACTAGGGCCGGGACTCATACTAGCTGGCATGGTTGAACCAAACAAAATGATCTTTCCCTCTTGTAACAGTATGAGAGGCAGAAACTGAGCATGTGGCAAATAGCATGTGCGATAGATGTCTTAAGGAAAATATGGGTACCATAGGGAAATTAAAAAAGAACAGAGGTGCTACCTGCAGACGTATAGTCTGGGAGCATTTCTTAAGGAGATGGTCCTTAAGGTGATAAGACAAAGCATCTCAGGCGGAGGGAATACCACAGTCAAAGGTTGTAAAGGTAGAAAGATCTGGGCTCATTCAAAGTCCTAAGAAGAGGCTAGTATGTTTCCGGCATGGTGAAGGGGATTTGAAGGTGATGTGGCAAAAGATGAACTGGGAGGAATGAGCAGGGATTCAACATCCTACGGGCCTGTTGGGTCTGATAAGGGGTTGAAATTCCATGTTACAAGCAATGCTTTTTAAAAACTTTAAGAAGAGTTTAAGTCAGAGGAGTTATGAAATGAGACATAAAAAGAAAGGGTTAGTGATGCCTAGCTTAAAGGAAATTTAATCTAGTTGGGGAGTTGAGATGCTCCACATCTTTACCCTGCAAAAAGAACACTTTAGAGATCAACACAATTGAATTTAAATAGCGTGTTGGGTGACCACAGTGCCCCAGGCACTGCAGTGAGATAATCTGATGTGCAGACAAGCTCTCTTTTCTTGGAGAGCCTTTGGAGGATATAGGATATGTTTTCTGTTAATTATGATAATGTGCCAAATTCTAGTGTACAGGTATTCACAGCTTTTATCTATCGTGATGATAGTAGGAGAAAACATTTTCAAAATCATAGTCAGAGGTTATACCTTTCAGAGTCTTCTGGTAACAGGAAAGAGAAAACTCAGTAGGAAGTGTGTTGGCCCGTACGATAAAAAGTCCAGGTGGAGGATAGACACAGCCTGGTTGTTGGAACATGTCCATCAGCTTCTAATGGGAAATCATCCTGGGTTGGCTTCCTCGTCCTCACCTCCACTCTCTGGCTTTGTCCTGCAAGTTCAGGCTCCAGTCACCACCTGTGAAAAGCTCTTGGATTTATCCTATATAAGCCCTCTCATGGGAATCAGTCTCCATTCCTGGCTTGTGTGGTGTTATCTTCATTCAGTGGCTGAGGCTGGTACTGAGTGTCCCAGCCCTGGGGTCACTGAGGAGCTTCATATCCAAATACATGGAATGAAGACTATTTCATCAGAGTTCATGATAAGATACCTTCAGAACAAATCATTAAAGAAACTAAGTAGACAGAACCTGTTCAGAGCTAAAGGTAGCATGGTGAGCCGTTTGTATAAAAAAAAAAAAAAGCTTGAATTGGTGTTCATCAAGAGTAGGGAGTGAAGAGAAAGACAAGGACAGAACATTGGAGAGCTCACAGCATGGGGTTTGAAGAAGAGGAACTATTGAATAAGACATCAGTAGGATGTTCAGATTGGACGTTCAACCAGTTGAATGTTGGGCTATAGAGCCTGCAGGGAATAAACTGAGAAGACATTATTAAAGTGACAGTTTGGACATCTTCAAAGATCTAGAAGAAAGCAGCTCTGCTAGAGTAGTGGAGGGACATGCAGAAGGGACAAGAGTTGAGGAATAAATGGGATATGTTGGAGTGGGCGGGCATTGCTCATTATAAATATTTGCAGTGATAAGGAAAAAAAAGAGATTGCAGCTGAGAAGCAATGAGGTCAGAGAAATCGGTAGTATAGTTGATTTAGATTCACTAATTTATGCCAACAAGGTCCGTCTGTAGGGTGCAAAAGACAGGAAACAAGACATAGGGAATAATGGTGGAGGAAAGGAAGGGTTGAAGTGTTTTATAGGAGATAAGAAGGAATAGGACCAAGAGTATTCAGATACAGTAGGTAGTCTAGGAAGGAAGAAATATTTTTTAACAGCTTTGTTGACATACAATAAACTGTGTATATTTAAAGTATACACTGTGATACGTTTTTACAAATGTACCTACATGCACCACCATTACTGCTATCAAGATAATGAATACGTCCATTATCCCAAAGTCTTTTCTTGCTCTTTTATGATCCTCCCCTCCTCCTCTTTGCCTCATTCCCAGGAACCAATGAGTCTGCTTCTTTTGCTATAGCTTAATTTGCAGTTTCTAGAATTTTATATCAGTAACATCAACATTATGTGCTCTCTTTGGCTTCTTTTACTCAGTATCATTTATTTTAGATTCATCTATATTGTTGCATGTGGCTGTAGCTCCTTCCTTTTCATTGCTGAGTACTATTTCATTGCGTGGATATGTCACAGTTTATTTCTCCATTTACCTATACATGGGCATTTGGGTTGTTTTCAATTTTGGGTAACTCAGAAATAATTCTGCTGACATTTGGAACTACTTCAATTTTGAAACAGAAGAGAAGGAAGGGGGAATGTAGGAGGATGCAGAGAAATTTTCAAGTCAAGAGATAATGTGAGGAGTTCCATCCACGTTGCCTTCATTTTTTCCATGAATGGAGGCAGCATCATCAAAGGCAGGCTTCCTGAACTTGGGCAAACATATTCGAAATCTGCCTTAGAGAATTCCTAGAGTATTTGAATGGCAGTGGGTGCTCAAGTTTGGAGAATGTGAATGTATGGTGGACTGGCTAACTGTCTAGTTGGTCTCCTCCAGCAGTGTTTGGATGGTACACAATCTCAGGGGTAGGATTTTAAAGGAAAGACAGCCATTAGAGGCTGAAGCAGGTGGGCTTTGTGGCTGATCCTGAAGG